GGCGGTGGCCAAGCGCTGAGGGAAAAGGGGGGGGGGGCGTCGCGGCCGGTAGTGGCCGCCGTCGGTGGCGGTGGGTGAAGACAATAAAGCGGCGACTAGGCCCAGTTTCGCCCCAAGAGAAGCTGGGAGGCGGCCTCCTCCCAGGCCTGGCCCGGCTCTGCCGCCCGCCCGCCCTCCCCTCCGGCCCTGCCAGGGGACGGGGCGAGGGGAAGCGCCGCCGAAAGAGGGGCAGGGCGGCCTCAACGGGAGACGGGGGAGCTCGGGAATGTGTGGGTTGAGGAGGGGTAGAGGAACAGAACAGTGCGCCTGGGGATGGGGGTGGGTGTGTTCATTCTATTTTTTTTTTTCTTCGGTTTGTGCTTTGAGGGATGTTTTTGCCTGTTCTTAATGTCATGGATTAATAAAGGGTTGCCTGCACTGGTATTTTCGCATGGTGGCAATGAAGGAGAAACATCAACAGGCAACAATGACTCGAAAAATATCAGAAGAGGAAGGGGATTTTGCAGGCTGGTCTAGAACCTGAAAAATTGGGCACTTCACAAGCCATTTCTGGCTGCCAGCATGTTGGAGAACACCTACAGAAGCAGGAAGCAGAGGAGGTTAATTATGCTTCACCTGTGTGCAATGGCTGGTGAGGTAATGCAGGTGTGACGCTCACAAAGGCTTGTAAGAAGCTTAACAGTTCTTGCCTATAGTCACCAAAATATGCTGTCACACAGGACCACTCCATGACATCCAGTAGCACCTGTGGCTGGATGAAAATGCAATTATCTAAAAATACTTTGCCAAGAGGAGCTGCAAATTACACAAGGGTAGAAATGCCTAGGATGGACATCAAAACATGCTGAATCATGCCTGAGGGTCAATTGCCCTGGCACAGCTACGCTATCTCCTGCTAGAGCCAAGTTTGCTTTCTAATATCTAGAGGTTGTTGTAAACCATCAAGATAAATAAATAAAGACAAATACTTAAAAAGCCACAGTATTTGGCTAATACAAACTTTTGGGGGATGTATTTGTTACAGTCATAAGCGTAGATGTGTCTTAACTCTTTGAATTTCAATAAATTTTTTGCCATAGCTACTTCCTGGGCTGTGGCTCCCTTAGCGTTCACGCAAAAATATTTCATGTCACCCATTTTGAGGTTGCCACCATCAACTTCCTGTTCCTCATACTGTAAGACAGGAGAGCAAGTGTTCCCATGCTTAATTCTTGCCATTATTCCCTGCCCTGATTGCTTTTATCCTGTAATTTACCACCTTCCTAGGATAAATAATCCAAATTATCAAAAAGTTGGGGTTTTTTATGAAAGCCTTTTCCCCTAAACGTGCCCACGCACAGACTCGACCACGTGGCTTTTTCTGAGGTAGGGCACACTGTAGACTGTGCCAGAGGAGAAAATAAATTCCTTTTATGTAGAGGTATTCTAGTACTTGGTATTAACCGGTATGTTATTTATTCCTCCCCTGTTCTATTAGCTTATTTGCTTTCTGACTCGTGTTGCTCTCTAACGTACTTTATTTCACGTGTCCGATATTGAACTTAATTCACCGTTATGCAGTCCATTCTATTTATTTAGGAGTTCTTCACCGTCACAGTCCCCTCTTGTCTTGCTTAACTGAAATTACGATGACAGCTGTGTGTTTTACTGCCTCACAATACAGTCCTCTTGCTAGAGCAGTGGTGAATAACATCAACAATGCGAGGCTTGCTACAGAGTCCCGACGTGGCCCATCGTTAACCTTCCACCATCCCAGAAACGCGCTGTTGAATTCAGCTTGTTGTTTTCCATCTCCAGTTTTGGAGCCACGGTAGCACTTTCCTTCTTGCCCGGTGATTTTTTAGTGGCGTGAGTCGTCTCTTTTGAAACACTGTAAAACATGAACTAATCCACCAAAATCTCTTTGGTTTTCAGGTGGTGGGGTTTTTTGACACTTTCAATAGAGCGATCAGCCAGAAATTATTTTGCTTTGCTGAAAAGCGTCGTTAGACCTAATTTTATATGCAGAGATTTTCTTCTGTATGCTTGGTTTTCATTTATATTTCAATGAAAATTTCAATCAAAAGGAAATACAACCTGTTTTGGAACCGGTTACCTGGAGAAGCTGTGGCTGCCCCATCCCTGGAGGGGTTCAAGGCCAGGCTGGATGGGGCTTTGAGCAACCTGGTCTGGTGGGAGGTGTCCCTGCCAAGGGCAGGGGGGGTGGAACTCGATGATCTTTAAGGTCCCTTCCAACCCAAACGATTCTTTGACTTTAACCCAAGCGTTGCAGCAGCTGAGGGTATTTGTTTGGCCTCCTTTTGGACATGTTGGATGCGGGTCTTCATGTGAGTGCAGGTGATCAGTTCCCTCCGTCGCTCCAGGAGCCAGGTCCTCCAGGCAGAGGTGCCACGTGGGCATCTGCTCCCTCGGGGAACCCAGGGCTAGAGCAGAGGGGGAGCAGCCCCTGGCTGCGTGGGTAAGGATAAAACTCTCCCCATCGCACAAGCACATCCCCTTCTCACAGCAGAGCATCCTGCGTGGCCTCGACGCTGCTGAGGTTCATGTAACTCCTGGGTCCAGCGTCGGCTGCTCTCTGTGTCTTCGTGAGGAGCGAGCGGGCAGGCTGTGGCCATCTGTGCCAGTGATGCCGGTAGCATTCTGGCTGTCATCAGGAAACAGAGGCAGGATTCTCCTCGGGAGTCTATTTCCGTGCATGTCCCTGTCCCCTCTGCAGGGCCGAGCTTCCTAGTTACGCGTGAATTTAGTACGTGTGCTGCGGCTGCCAGCCTGACAAATTTCCAGCCGCCTTCTGAAATCCAATCTCTGTAGTGATGGTAACTGCTTGCTGTTCTTTGTTTAGCATTTCTCCCCGTTAAGATTTTCCAATGCATAGTTTCTTTGTAACTGTTTTGGAATTAATTTTCCCTGCTTCAAGAAGCTGCCTGGCAATCAGCAGTGGGTTATTTATTGTTGTACCTACTGCGCTGAATTACTACTCCTAATAAGAAAAGAAAACCACTAAGAAGTAGGCTATGATATATCAACAGTGTTAAGGATAGATCTCTTCAAACTACCTGGAGGATTTTATTTTTTTTTTGCTGAGTCCTTTGCTATTTAGACTATTTTTTTCCCTGCTAATTTAATTGCTCATATATAGGATAGGCTTGATGAACTGACAAATGAAAGACTTGGTGAAATGAATCACATGTGAATTATAGGCCATCATCAGCTATTAACTTGGTTGAATCAAATGCTAATCAAGTTGCAATTTAGGGTATTACTATATTGCTGCTCGCACATAACATGGTGCTTCTGCTTTTCTAAAACTGAGCAATCCGCTAACAGAAATAATTTTGTTGTATGAGTCAACTATACCTGTGCCTATCTTAGACCAAGAGTGATTAGAAATCTCTCTTGTTTGCCAATGCTTCAGTTGTGTTATTTTTATAGATACATATGTATATATATGGAGAGATACAGATATATATCTATTTAGTTTTGGTACTTGAACACCAGCAGGTATACACAGCAGGAGCAGACTTGTTCTCTGTATTTTGTTCTTATCTTTCTGGGGCACTGCGATCAAGGGGGACTCCAAGTTTTATAGAAGAATTATCTACTCTTTGTACAAAATCTCACCAAATTGATCTCCAGAGTCTGATTTCTTTGCATTTTGTTAATGAGTTTAAAGTTTATTCATAGTTAACTTCACACTTTTCTTCCAAATTTATTATTCATAGCTCTTTTCCGTATCCTCTTTTCACAGTGAAGAATGATTATTTTTTATTATTTTCTGGGGGGTTTTGCCCAGTATTAAAAGGCAGTTTAAGGAGAACTGAAAATCTGTTCATCGGGATAGATCATAAATAGAAGATTTTATAGTTTCCGCTGCCCGGGCCACTGTACAAGCATCGTATTCTAACTCAAATGTCAAAATGAGCACAGAAATAAAATGCCCTCCAAACTGAATAGACTGTGTTTTGTTCACAAGACAAATTTATGCGGGGGCAGGATAGAAAACATGATGAGACACATTGGTTTGTTCCTTTTGTGACAACAGATATCAAACCGTAACACTATCAGAGAAGTGATTCTCAGCTAGCGGGTCAAGATCCATTTCTGAGTCATCAGGGATTTCTGCTGAGGGTGGAAGCAAGTTGGCATGATTTAAAAGTTGAAATATAAGAAAAACCGTTGAAGACCGACTGGAAAAAAAAAGAAAGATCACAGTGCCCAGAATTTCTACAGTAAAAGAGTTTGTTTGGCCAGATCAGCCTGGACTAAAATATCCCTATATGGTGAGTAACCAAGTGAAGTGAGGCTGAAGGAGGGGAAGAGACAAAATGAAAGAAGGAAAAAAAAAAAATAGAAGAAAAAAGGCTAAATGAAAGCAGGAAAGAGCTGATCATCCAGCCTGCTTGGGCTGAGGGAGGGAAGTGCTCTGTGCTCCTTCTCCCCTCGCCCTGGCTGGGGCTGGAAGGGTTCCAGTACCTTTTAACTAACGAGGGTGACAAAACTGCCGAGTTTGGAAAGCGGCCTTGTGGCCGGGTAGTGTGGGACATCCTCTTGTAGGATGTTTAGGATGGAAACGTACGAGTTGCGCCCTTTTGGGTAAACATTTTAAAGCTCCCCTGGTGAGGCAGGCGGTGTTTTGTTCCCAGTGGGCGCCCTGGTAGGGTGCCCATTACCATAGATGAGCAAGCTCAAAGGCTGCAGGCTTTTCAGAAGCACATGGGATGTGTCAAGCTGACCCACTTCTTGAAAAAGCCAGGCCCGGGCCTTTGTGAAACGCCCCGTACTTGTCAGATGTTAGGACGTCAAGAATGTTTAAGTCTCCGGCTGACGGGATAATTATTGTTATGGTGTTTATAGAGGTGGGAGGGCCTGAAGGGAAAAGGAGGCCAAAAAGGAGAATCAGGAAGTGAGATGAATAAGGCTCCGGGAATTGCACGCAGATGGAGTTTCGTCGCGCTTTGTTTTTTCTTTAGCTCACTTGGCTCTTCAGTAAAATAGATGTTTATATAGGAGAAACTATTTTTGTTTTTTCCCTCTCTGTGCCTCTCACACCTACAAATTCAAATGTTCCGCATGCTAATCCGAGTGGGAGACGTAGATTTTAATTGGACTTCAGGAACATGAAACTGGCAGGTGAAAACACTGAGTTTTAATAATTTTAGTTATTGTAGCTGCTCCCAGTCGTACTGCCAATCTGCAGTTTGCCTCTTTCAAGTCTGTTCCAGGGAAACAAGCTAGCATGAAATCCTGAATATCTGCTGAAATCTGAAATCCTGAAAATCTGCTGCCCTTGTTAGACAGTAGTATTTTACTGTATGGCACTCATCGCTATGTTATGATTTATGGAATATATTAAATATACCAGAAGCCTGTAGGATGTACAGACAGTTGCCTCCTTTTATTTTCAGAGTATAAAAACATGCATCTACAAAGCCCATCGTCTGACAAAATACACAGTATTTTTCTAACTTTGTTCAGTCATAGTCAGCTTGGAGAGCACTTGCATGACAGAGCAATTAAAATATTTCAAACAAGGTCATGATTTTGCAGGTGATTGTTTTTAAGATTAACTTGCCATTATACATGCTGTCATGATTGCAATGTACATGCTCAGAAGCTTGGCGGAAGAGTAGCTTCCTGCTCTAGTACATATTATTATTATGATCAGCAATTATTTTTGTTTGCCAAGACACACCTGTGCTAACCTCTGTCATCAACAATATTGTTTAATCAGCTTTAAAAAATGACTGAATCTTATCTACTTGGCAACTTCTTTTAACTTACCTTATGAACCTACCTGTGTGAGGATACTATAGAATATGATATGAAAACCTTTACTGTATGAAAGCTGCCGTATTGTCACTGATTTGTTACAGCTGGGTGGGTTTGCCCCTCCTTGGAAGCTTCTTAATAATAAACTCCGTTTTTGTCTCTAGGAATCAAAATGCTGAGAAAGACTGAGAGGTTATCGTTTGACCTTCTCTCCCCTTCGTGGCTGGACCAGCTCTTCCATGAGCACTCCTAAGAGACACTTGCTTAAATTCTTCTTAAAACCTCCTGCGACCGATATGCTAACAGCTTTCTCATGTTTTGACTAGTAACAATGTAAGGGAATGCTCGAGTGGTTTGAAAATGCGTATTTAATTTGGATAGTCTGAAAACTAAATGGAATACAAGCATTTCTGTTGCTTTAAAAAAAAAATTCAACAGTGCTTTTTGAGACATAAAATTTAAGTTTTGATCCAGATTTGCATTGCCACAGTAAGTGTTCAAAACTCGTGAGTCAGTGCCCACCCACAAATGAATTTGGCTTAAAAGCCCATTTTCTTAAAAATAAGACATTTAGAGAGGATGGGTAGGTGGTTGGTTATTTGCCATCTGTTTCTGAGCTTTTCAGAGACCTTCCTTTCATATTTACAAGCTTTTGCCATACAGAAGAATTAAAAACATGCTTTAAAAAATATAAAATCTGGGATTCTTACTGCAGCTCTTTGACTTTGGCAGCTGAAAAAAGTATTGAAGGATTTGTAACAAAATAATGACAATCAGCAACACCTAATTTGACCTTCTTCTCCGTGTTACAGCTTTATAGAGCAACAAACAGTAATCTGTATATACAGATCTCCTCATATTTAATACATTTGTTACGTTTTGAGAAAAGTTGAGGAAAAGTGTGGGCGGCAAATACTTTCCATCTCAAAAAAGCTCTCCATTGTATATTGCTAACTTCAGTTCACTTTTCTGTTTCTTAATGTAATTAAAGTATAGCAATGCTTGTTAACAGGCAAATGCTGACTGTACTCCCAGGCCTTAGTAGATTAAGTCTCATGGTAGAGAGGAATTTATTTTTAAACATAAAGATTGCAGGAAGCTAACAATTCAGTGTTGTCATGGATTTGTCACACTTGGCTAGTTCTTGGTAATTAAAGGAAGGTTTTGATAAACAAGTAGTTTGCTTAATTTTAATGGTCTGTGGTTAGGAATTCTAGGATAAACTTGCTTGTTGGAGACTCCTTATTTTTTCTAGTGAAAATGTTAAGTTGTTGTGTTAGAGGCTCCATATTGCTTCTAGTGAGTAGGTTATGTTGCTGACGTGCCAAGCAACTTTGAGTAAACTCTGTGAATGCAAACACCTCCTTTTATACCGTGTCTTGCACTCAGCAGCCGGACTTGTTGAGAGTGCATTTCCAGCAACTTGCAAGTTTACTGAAGTGTGATATTAAATTCATATGACAAGCAGCACTCATTCCCCAGCTCCAAACCAACTCTTACACAAGTGCAGTCTACAGGAGCCCATATGTTGAAGAGAAGGTTGTTCTAACAGTCACTGATAGCATGAAGCTGTGTTAGAGACCCAGCTCGTTAGTGAGAGCAATACGAATCACATATGAAAATCCTATCCTTAGCTTAATTAAGTTAGGTTTTTCTTGTTTGCTGCACCAAACAGCCTGGATTTTTAGATGAGGGTCAATGCTAAAAAAAGTTCATTCGAGACTCTGAAGAACCTAAAAATGCATTTCTAAAAGTTGCCGCCAGCCTGCAGAAAGGTATGAACTGGTGCATGGAGAGAGAGATGTGTTTCAGTTCTGATTGACAAGGTTCCTGGGCCACACAGGCCTCTCAGCCAGTGGGTGGCACGCTGTGGAAGTGTACCAGAAGCCCTCAAGCACTACAGTTTCTCACTGTGGAAGAGTTGCACTGGTCATGGATCAGCTGGTGGTGAGCTTTACTGGGAACAAACCTAGTATGCCCAGTAAGAGTGTTCTGCATCAATAGTAGAAGCAGTAATCACTTCACTGACCAGCACATTAGGTATCTCACCTAAGTTCTCACCTTGTTCCTGCCAGCAGTTAATGGGGAAAGACAGGTACCCATCCCTCCCATTGGAGCGTATTTGACAAAAACAGATGAACCAGTTCCTCATTAATCAAGCATTCTGCATTCCAGAAAAAGTTATGTGTGATCATACAAATGAAGACTACTAGAATGCGAGTGCACTCAGAGGGAAAGAATTAAAGCTGCAGAGCTTAATCCAAATTAATATGTTTCTTATTATTATGGGTGCTTGACTTTGAAGCCTTTATAATGTCTTACAGTATTTTTACAGGCATGAGATATTTACTTGAAACTCACTGTATGGGAAATTTAAATCTGTGTCATTTTAGATAGTATAATTTGGGGGGCTTCGTTAGTATGCATCTGGCTTCTAGAGACAGCATGTTGGTCAAAGCATGCTTTTGCTCGCCGAAGCCTCTGCCTGCAGCATGAGTTCCTTTATTTGATGCAATTCAGCACGAGGGTCTTATACCTGGCCCCTGTAGGTCCCATATGAGCTGTCAGGTGCTGGCAAGTGGCCTCCTGCCACTCCTGGTCAGCCCAAAGCCAAGCTGTGCTTGCAGCCCAACCTGGCAGGCAGGTGGCCCAGCAGGAGGAGCGGCAGTGAGCCCTGCCTGAGCTTTGTGACTGAGCAGGGAGAAGAGGAGGTAGCACTGGCCAAACACTGAAGAGGTGGGACCAAAAGATGCTGAAGATGCGGTGCAGCTGAAGTGTGATGTGACTCAGAGCCGTGTCATCCCTGGCTCATAGGAAGAGGTGAGACAGAGCTTGGGCAAGAGGATATACGGTTGCAAAATGAAACACTTCGTAGGAAAAACAGCCTCTTCACCTCAGTTACTGACACCTCAACTGTCCCCACCAATCGAGGCATTGCTGTACGTAGGATGAGACACTAATGCTGACCCAAATTCTGTTGGCTGCCCCTCATCGCTAGGGTAAGATGTGACCTTTTCCAGACTTGCTACTTCTTTGCAGCATTTTCTCTCTCCCCTCCAAACCTCAGCCTGTTTTCTGCATCGAACTTCCCTGCTCGGTATCCTTTCATCTCTTTTTATGCAGAAGTAAAAGTTCCTTGTGGGCAGAGATGCTTATTTGTCTGTTATAATTCATCCACTGTATGGGAATCATGTAGCTATATAAAGCAGTAATACTATTAATAGCAGAGAAGGCAGCAACTTCTCTTTCAAACTTTTAATGCAAATTCTCTACCAATTTAAATGGAAGCATGATCCATAATTAAAGTGGCAGAGCCTTATGTACAGAAGGAATATTGAATCACAGTGAAAAATGCAGGAAAAAGAAGTATTATAACCACGTCTACTCACAGAGAATATAAATGCAGCCACACAAATCTTTTAAATGTTCCTCGATCAGGTGTGTGCTTACAGCTCGGTGTTGGCTCAAGCAGGATTGATGGGAACTGGAAGGCAAAGCCAGCAAACGTTGCTGGGGCAACAATGCAGGAAAAGTTTAGGACACCTCCCCCGCTATAATAAGGAACTAATCATTCCTTGTTAATGAACGGCTAGTAACAAATGTGGGTGAAAGCAGCAGTTAAAAATTGGCCAGCCAGAAGCGCCAAGTGATGGTTATCTGAGCTTGTGTTTTCCGGCTCTGGCAACAAAGGGTTCTCTACGTTTCTGAAGAAATGAATGCTAATGATGTATCCTGCAACACCTTTTCAAGAGGCGTACTGATGATGGACACCAACACTGCCTGAAAGACAACTCTTCTTCCTTTTAATATGGGTCCTAAAAACAGGGGAAGATGGGAAGAGGAATGAAGGGCTGTATACAACTAGTATTAGCCCTGTATTTTATGAAAACCCAGCATAGTTTCTAAGCCTGTTCGAAAATGACCTTTTACTTTAATTTTTAACTGAGAAGAGAGAACATACTGTACAGGTATGATATCTAGTCTCCAATGCTTAGTGCAGAACCAAAAGAGCATGGTAGGAAGGGGCCAGGTATTTATTCTCTATTGAATTTAAAGACATTGTCAAATTAGCAAGGCCTGAATTGTTACTCTATTTATTTACTTACCATTATTTATTAACTTACCATTAACCAATGTAACATTCTCTTCCACATCCTGAAGATCATTACCACAGCATATTTACATTGGCTCCTCAGTGATGTTGAGCATCCAGTATTGTGCCTTCTGCAAACACATACATGAAAAAAATTCATGAATTTATGTCCCTTCAGTGTTTGCTGAGAATGCAGGAAAGTGCAGCCAACCTCTTATGGTTTGACTGTGGTGAAACGCCTGCACCCTGCCTACACTACAGGTGTAGCTCCACTGGAAGAAACCTCCCAGCTAGGCTTCAAGGGTTGGATAAAATCCTCCCAGGGTAACTGGAGTGCCTGGTAGAAGAGCTGTCCTCAGCTGGCTCCAGTTTGATTCTTCTCTCTCATATCCTGTGCCTTAAATGAGAGTTACATTCGTTGTTGTGGTGCACAATTCCGATCCACTTACATGTTTTCCTCCCACAATTACCAAGCAGTGAGGAAAACAATTTGACCAACAGTGCTTTAGTCACAAAATCAACAGATGCATGAGACAAATTCTTGAATTTGGCATTGCAAGATGATACTCTTAAAATAAACATCAACATATTAGGCACTGCACAGTTTTGCCTTTGTTTACTAAGGCTCAGATGATGGACAAAGCATTGAGTCTAATACTGCAAAAATCTCTGAGTAGCCAACTCCAAAACAAAAGTCCTCACCCTGGTCCTCAAATCTCACTTGTGCTAGTAGGATTTTGAATCCCTGTGGACTCTCACTGGTAAATCAAGCTTCGTGTTGGTGTGGAGCACGTCAGGTGCCAAAGCCAGGGCCCCGTATCCGAACAGGAATGGAGATGTTCGCTACCAAGGAGCACGCAATGCTTCAACTATGCAGTGCGTGACTGAGGAAATAAACATGAGGTAATAATGAAAAGGCAAGCCAGTAGCTATCTGATTAATCCCCCCCTTTTGGGGGGATTTTTTTGCTATATGGCTGAACTCCAAATGTCAACTTCAGAGATAAGATACCCTGATTACTGTACAAGGTTACAGTAACATTATTATATATGTTATGGAGTTGAAAGACCCTTTCCCACAGTTGATGCTACTTAAGAAAATGTATTTAGTGCTAATTTGAATTTGCCTTTTTTAAGAGAAGATCATGCATAAGACTGAAACAGGAAACATCGTTTTAAATTAACTCATGCATCTCAAGCACAATTACTTGGCCGTTGCGCTTGCATCTCTTTAGAGACTCCTCTATCTGATGACATGAAAGTTACTGCAAGAGATTTAATCTGGGTGTTGTGTATTTTTTTTGAAGAGGCAGACACTTCATGAAACTTTCCGAACTTGACAGACTTTCTGTGTGGAGTTCAATGAACTCTCAGGCAGGACTGAAGCGAGTGTCACAGCGAGGCTTTCTTCTCAAATTCAGGCAGTTCTTCCCTACCACATCCTGGGGCTGCTGCAATTCAAGCAGCTCCCCTGCCCGGCTGGGCTGAGGGTGCACACAGCCAAAGGTATATGAAATGTTGCATTTGTTCCCTTAGAGGCCACCTTAACGAAACAAAAATCAGAACCAATGAGCAAAGTCTGCACTGATTGTACATGTTCCAAATAGGTCAAATAGTTTAAAAGCTTGTCTCTGTTACTGTTATGCCTGTTTTAAACAGGCTGAGGAAAAGAAACATTCAAAAAGAAACATCTATTTTCACCAATTCTGTTACAGGTTAATAAGAGCTTTGACAGATACTACTCTTTGGCTTTTCATCTGTAAAAAAAAAAAAAGAAAAAGGAAAATTCAGTACGTAATTCTAGTACATGAGTGAAGTCACTGCTGTAAAGCTGTAAACATGGACTATATAACTATATAGCACTTTACCTACAGATCTCCCTGTGCTTTCAAAATGGGTTACTACCCCACTCTTACTGCTGGGAAAACAGTGGTGAAGAGGTGCAGTGACTTGGCCAGAAGTCACCCAGCTGGCCAGTGTCAAAACTGTGGATAAATCCCAGGACTAATTCTTTATCCCAGAAGCTGCCTCAAAATAAATAATACAGAGAATTGTGCAATGGAGTGTACTCTCGGGAACAGTGTGGCAGAACATGAGATTAAAATAGATATGACAAACTGAAATACTGGGGAGTAATTAGATTTAAGACAAGAAAATAACCATGGAAGTATATGTGAGATTAAGCATCATGTAGCAAAGAAACTTTGCTTTGGCAAGGCAAATTTTTTATTATTAAAACATGCTACATTTTCTAGATTATGTCGCTATGTCATGTCTTTTTTTTTTTTTTTTTAAATGATTGAAGGTAATGACATTGACTACAGTCCTGAAAAGATAATTTCCTGAAATACAGCTTCTGGAAGTAGAAGAGATACACGTTTTTGCAGACTCTGAATGTAACTGACGGTTTTGACTTGTGTGGGCTAGTTAATGACTACTGAATCTTGTTCTGTCAAGTCACTCCAGGCTCTCTCCAATAGAGCATTCAGGTGAAAGTTAACCACCATGGCAAGCATTATGGGGTACAGGTGTCTTGGGGCATCTGCGACCCAGCTGGACACCCCTAGGCCCTTGTGTTTGGGCACTACCGTGTGCTCTTTGCTCTGCCCAGGCTGTGTGGCTGACCACTCCAGCCCATGGCTAGCAGCAGATAGGCAGATTTCCCACAAGCTTATTTCGCAGGTCAGGTATTTTGAGTACTCTGAATTTCATCCACCCCTTCAGAAAATCAGTGGAAGCACTCAGTTCTGAAGGACTCAGCTCCTTCAGCCCCAGGCAGTACCAGAAATGCATGGATCAAGCTGAAGTAATTAGCAGCTACTTTCATTTGTCTATGTAATCTTTCCTCACTGCCTGTCACCATGCTTTTCCATAAGATTCTCTTGCAAACTCCTCTAAGTTTAGGCTACTGCACACAACCACAAATCACAGACAGTCTCTGATACTCATCCTATTTCCTCTGCTTTTCTTTCAAACAACCTCCAAGACTTTCTACTTGTCTCTTCAGGCCAGTCATACCTTTAAAATAACCTCACCAGGTGACTGAAATCCCTCAACATGGAATACGTTGCTTAGCTACCTCCAAGCTGAAGGTCAGGCTTAAAAACTACTGTGCCCTGGCTTGCAGCCGCCTACCTTTCGGGTTCTGTGTGAACAGATCATTAAGGTTTAATAACACCCGGCCAGCCCTTCGCCAGCAGCCCTTGGAAAAGCAGCCCAGCAGGACACCAAGAGCAGAGCCACTCAAAGCAGAGTTTACCTCACACACAGAGGTATGAAGATGCGAATATTGGATGGGCTGGGATGGATTCCTCAAATCATTGCCCGTGTTATCCCAGGGGACGGGGTCAGCTGCCTCACTGACCCTGGTTACCTGGGTGGAAGAGGGCTGGTGGCTCATGGCCCATGTCTTGCCAGGGAGGCAGACGTCTCTCCCTTGCAGGAGTGCCGGGGAGATCCCGCTCCATCGCGCACGTTCCCCGGGACGCCAGATGAATTATGGATGAGTCAGCCAGAATTTTTCCACGCGCTTCCGCTGCTGCACAGCGCTCATCGCCAACCGAGCTGTGGTTTTCAACCGCTGTCTGGGCCTAATGCTTCCAACATTTAAAAAAAAAATAAAAAAATTATAATAAAAAAAAAATTGCTCTTGGTTTTCTGGCAGAGAGCTCCCTGGCAGGGCACAGCACAGGGAATCCCGATGCTCGTGCGGCGTCAGGCCCCCCGCGTCCATAACGTTTTGCTGAATAGCCTAGCGTGTGTTAAAAATCATTTGGTCCTTTCTGCCTGCTTTGCTCCTCTGTCCCTCCCACTAGCTGAGGGTATCGACAGAGTCAATTAGAAGAGACAGCAGCAATGCTGAAACTGATTTGAATTTTAACCAGTTCTGCTAGAACTGGTGCTATGTGCAGGGAGCTGAGGGCAGGCAGACACCCAAGGACCTAGCGACTGCCCATGTATGCCAAAAGTCCTTTTTATTTCTTTCAGTCCTTAGCTAGATTCAAATTAATTTCTGTTTAGCAAATGTTGATTTCTTTTGCTGTTCTTTGAGCACAGGAAATGCGTGTGGTCTTAATTTGTGATGATCATGGAAAAGAAACAGTCCAGTTCTGGAAGCATTTGCTATGAGACAAAGGACAAAATCCTTCTCCAACAGCATTTGATGAATCCTCTCAGAAAGACTGCAGCTTTTGTAAATGCTTGCAGTGATAAAGCAGCGCTGATGTCAAACTATACAGCACGGGAGACTAAGCATTTATTCAAGCTTTATTACAAATTTCTATTATCTGCATTCAAGTTGCATCTAGAACTCCCAATCAAGACAGGCTTCAGCTGTGCTAAACACTACATCCATAGAAATGACGGTTTGTGCTGTAAAGCACTTAGTGTCTAAATAGACAACATGAAATAAACTGGTGTGAAGTCAAAGAAATGAAAGAAAGATCCCTAGACTCTGTACCTAGACACAATCAGTAGGCTACTTGGCTTCATTCAGAGAAGACTGAACTCTATGTTTATCTTCAGACAGCCCAAAACCTCATTGATTTTAACAGGAGAGTAGTATAGGAGTATTTTTCCCTGAACACATGTATGACCCCTGAATCCAGCCCCGAGGAGGAATTTGACGATGAATGACGGATGGTTTTACAGGCTAACGTGGCCGAGATGGCACAGGAAGGAATACAGGACAACCACCATTTTGGGAAGGCCATAACCAGCATCTCCTGGAATTGCCCATAGCAGCAAGAGAGCCCTTCATTTGCACAATCCTCCCTTAAGAGCTATTCAAATGCAGATGTCCCAGTCAGTCCCTTTGAGTTCTCTAAGCTCCAGTAGTTGCATTTGGCCCTATTTACATATCATATCATCTCAATTATTCATGCTCACATTTCATGACGTCTTTGCCATATTAATTAAAAGGGCTCCTGTGGCTGTTAAGCCAGAATATGATCCAAGCACAATAATTTAATGAAGTTAATTGCTATCTTTACTCTGAACTACTCTATCCACCTTATTTCTAGCTTTCACCTCCTGCCATGGGATCTGGCTATGTCTTTGTCCACAGGATGACAGAGCCCCTTGCAGTTAAGAACCTGCACAGCCTACTGCTCAGGTCCCCTCTTAGTCTTCTTTTCAATAAACCAGAGAGACTGATCGTAAGTCTCTTACCATAAATCAAGCTTTGCTTCAATATCATGTAACTCTTATTTGCTTCACAAAAGCCTAAATTGTCAACACCATTTTTCTCAAGCGTGGGCAGCAGAGCAAGACACACTATTCCCTTAATGTTACTGTAATATCACCTCTGTACTCCTACGGAAGGTATTCTACATCCAGGGATCACACCAGCCTCCTTAGTCACCGCATTGTTCCGGCAGCTCCAGCGCTGTGGGTTGCCCACGTGATGAGGTTTGTCACTAATTCTTGGGATCCTGTGATTCATTCAAAGTTGTCCGCGATGCTGCCGCAAGCACAGGCCCTCCTGCAAACGAGAGAAACCACTTTAAGTCACGTTTCATTTTTTGCCTCTTGACTGCGTCAGCATAGCACCCACTGAGGTGGCCACAGGCAGTGAGGAGTGCAGCAGACCTCTATTTAGACAATTCTGTCACCCCATGAAAAAAAAAACCCAAACCCCACATTTAATTACGTACAATTACTCACTTCTGTATTGGTCTGAAATATGTCCACTTTGCCATGCTGCAAGGGCCCCATAGCCCAAGGCTTCCCGTGGGACACAGTGGTGGCGTAACTTCCTTGGGGAGGAGGAGGCTCCTTTCTTCAGAGATGAGTATCTCTAAGTAAGTAAAAGAGCTAAAAGGTGGCAATTAAAGAATAGCTCTCTATTTTCCTTTCGTACAATGCTATATTTAGAAACCTATGTAACAATGCAAAATTTCTATACGCACATTTATTTACTCAGAAGATTTTATTGTATTATTAAGACAAAAACAAATCCAAGGCCTCCAGAAGTAGTTGTGTTGCGTGTTACAGGTATGATGTAAGTCAACACAACAGAACGCCTTTAGTTTGACAAATTAGTTTTTAATTACCAGATTCGAAGACAAAATAGTTTTTCTCATTTCTATCAGGTTTTCTGTCTTAGATATATGTTGATCTAAGTAAAATGATTATGTTCATGAAGGATATAAACATATTGCAAAAGACTAGAGTGTGCAGTACTGCCCTGCTTTTAACTTTTCTTGTCTGAGATTATAGAGCCAGGATCCACAAAATTAAACAATAAGTTAAAAGATAGCAGGTTGGCTGTTTAGCCCTGGGAACAGGTTGCTGAAATTTGGATTTACCTCTGCCCCAATAGATAAAGCATGACACATGAAAAAAGGAAGACACACAGACACACACACAAAAATACATTAATGTAAGGTCACTGCAAGCCAGATTAGAGTGCTGAAAGTTTTATGAGGGAACTTTGTTCAAAGGATAAAAAAACCCCTCACTTCATTTACACCAATAAATTGGAACACAAAATATGGCACAGCTTCCATATTTTCAGTTCAATAATAGTGCTGGAAACTGAAAGAAATGCCAATCTCAATACAAAATAGGCATAAATTCACCTCAATTCAGTACTTGTTATCCCTGTCCTGTGGTTCTGGTACCAGAGCCAGTATAATCAGGAAAAAAGTGACACGTGCTCTGGATCAATGTGTAGGTCCTTCATCATGCCTAGCTGTGACAATGTGGGGACAGTGCCTGCCTGTAACTTTTGTATTCTGAATTAAGGTAAGAAATGGCTGAGTTACCAAATGTCTCAGTGGATGCAGAGCTGAACTGTTGGGCCCGTGTCACACACCTTCCAGAGATGAGAAAGAGGAGAGTTACTAAAGTTCAATTGCTCCCGTTCAAAACTAGAGCACCTTTGGAAAGTCAGACAGCTGGAGGCTGAATCAGTTCCGCCGAGTTTGCCTGATGCCCAGGAGTGAGGAAATGGAAGAATTTTCTCAGAGGTGGAGCAGGGAACAGCACTGAGCATGGATTCTTCAGCGCTGTAGGGCATGGTGCGATGATGCAGCCAAGCCTCTCTAACGGCTCTCTGACACCAAACGGGGCAGTCCTGCCTCCCCCAGGCTGTCCTCATGTGATCGTGGTGGGATGGCTCATCTAGCAAAAATACTCTTCACCTTCTTTGGCTGAGTTAGCTTTCTACTAGCTTAGGTCCCGTGAAATCCTTGCTGGGAGGCAGGATGAGCTCCAGTGGCACAGGAAGGGAAGCTGCTGGGGTGCACGGCTAGGGAGGAGGTGGAGTGGGATCGCCCCTTTAGGCAGGGAGTAATTATTGGATCAGGTGAGACGAGCTGTCTAATCCCACCACGGGCCTGACAAGCCGGGGGTGCACTCGGAGGCACAGAAAGCTTGAGCAGGGAACAGAAAAGACAATCCTCCTTTCATGGCATGTCGGTTGAGCTGTGAGATCCAATTCACAATTCACAGAAGTTTCCTGTGACTTGGAGAAGAGCAGAAGGCTTCAGAGTCTCTGACCTGAGCCCAAAGAAAGCTCAGAAGACTCAGGCAAGGAAAAACACATAGATACCGTCACAGATCTATATATTCCTTGAACTAAGGGCAAGGTCAGGGCTAGCACTCCTCAAACACATATGCCCAATTGCCTCCACAACCATGTGTCCATAAAGAGATGCTCTCTACTCAGTAACTCAGGGTTACTTTATAGGGAGGGAGGGAGGGAGAACTAAAACCTGTGCTTGAGCTCATGGGGACCATGGGGTAAAGGGAGGAGCAGTTACGTTTTGGGACATTATAGGAACCAAGCTGTAAAAAGTCTCATTTCCACAGAGGGGTAACAGAAGGTTTCTGTGCAAGAAACCAGGGGTAGAACCAGCTCTGTGGGCTGCTCAGATTAGACACAGTGGGAGAACACGTGGACCCAATACAACAGGAGCTAACCATCACCACCTAGGAGCAGGACTGTGAGATAACTGCAGGGCCTAGCTCCACCTCTTTTTCCATCATAATTTTTTCCTCGATGAAATATTCAGAGCCCTTTTGAGCCAGCCTACATCTGTATTTCCTTGCTGATATGAAATATGGCCCCTCCAAGTCGCCCCACCAACATTGCCTCATTTACATCGGGGGAAACATGATTCGCAGTCACTGACCCTATTTTTCCCCGTTATGAAATCATTTATCAGTATGCTAGACTTCGCCTGCTGAGCTAACCCACATTAATAAAGCAAAATGCAAATTGTGTGCTTGTCTCTGCTGACCCTGACTTTGAAAACTGGTTTTTCTTTCCCTGCTTCTCATCTTTGACAAAAGAGACGCAGGCGTAAGCTTAGAAGTCAGCAGGTACATCTGCCTGTCTGTCGAGTGACCTGAATCCTGACTTTATATTACACAGACTTGCAGTACAGTGGATACTGAGAATTGGTGATGCTGTAGGAAAAAACAGATGATGCCAATTAGGCTAATTAGAGAGTTCTATATT